GAGAGAGAGAGAGAGAGAGAGAGAGAGAGAGAGAGAGAGAGAGAGAGAATTATTGCGCGTTGTGCGTCTCTCGTCGCGCGTGCTTGCCTGCCTTGTTGCGCGTGCGGCCTCTCCCCGGCCCCCCCTTCCCTCTTTCTCTCTCCCCCTCCCTCCCTCTGTCTCCCCTCTCCGGCTTCTTGTCACTCGCCCATCTTTCTCCTCGTCTTTTTGTCGTCTATCCGAGTTGTTTATCTGTCGGGCCCTATTGTAACTGGCTTGATCGGAGTTAGATGTTCTTTGGCCTGGGGACAATCTGCAGAAGAAGGGGCCATCTTGGTTAGAAACTCGTTAACGGCATCTGGGCGAACGGCGAGAGATTGACAATCAAACACATCAGGATAAGATGTAGGGATAGGGATTTGAGCTCGAAAGGAGAGATTGAACTGGAAAGGAGAGACTTTGAACTCGGAAGGAGGGAGTTTGAACTCGGAAGGAGAGAGTTCAGTTTACCTTTGACCGTTTCCCACGTTCCCCTTGTCCTTCTGTTCGCGCCTTTCTCTCTTGTTTCCCTTTCCCCCTACTTATTCCCATCGGACTCGCAGTCTTTAAGAAGGTGCAAGTCAAATCACAGAGAGGAGACGAAACTCTGAAAAGAGAGAGTGGAAAGTTCGAGAGAGACAGTCGGCTTAGATTGTAGGTTTCCTCCCTACCTTCTTCCTCTCGTTTTCCGGTTCCCCTCCGCCCCTCCTTCCCCCATCTCCTCCCCCTCCTCCCCCCCATCTCCCCCTTTCTTTGCGTCCGTTCTCCTTGTCTCTTAGTCTTGACGGTCCTTTTCTCCTTTGGATTCTTTTTTTTTCTGGGAAAAAAAGAACAGAATTTTAAGGAGAGGAGGGCAAAATGATCGGGACGCGTAGATTGCCATCTCCGTTCTGCTTTCTCTTTTCCTTTGTTGCCATCATATCCGTGTACATTCTGTTACGAGATCAGCGTCTAAGTTCATCATCTTCTTCTCGCGATGAGAGAGTAGGACAAGGAAGAGGCGGAATATTAGGAGGAGAATCAAGATTGATTAGTATTTCATCAGCTTCTTCGCTGGATGAGCAGAGCAGATTGAGGTTGAAAATTGAGTTATGTCCGAAGCAAAACCCGTTGGAAGCTTTGATAACTGGCGATGGCGGTGATATCACCATCCCGCCGACGGACCCTTCTCTCTCTTCTTTCAAAGATAGGGACCTTTGCGATCTTGATGCTGCCGAGATTGAGCGCATTCGTTCCAAACCTCACGGTTACAAGAGTCAGGAGAATAGGTATTGGATTGATGGGGAATGGCGCATCTTTGACGAAGCATGGCAGTTAACGGATGCAAAAACAGATGCTTTTGTATGTCTGATAGTGAGTGTGAAGGGCGAAGTACCCTGTCGGGAAGATGAGTGTCTGATTCCACTTCACGTTCGACCTAAAGCTTCGGATCTAAATGTCGTCAAGCAACTCTTCGAACAACAGGAATACAGTTTTGTTGCCGACTTCTCACCAAAGACCATTCTGGATGCGGGAGGGAACATCGGGATGGCATCGGTCATTTTCGCCACCATGTGAGTGCCGCATACTGTCGCACGTACAATATATGTGTATAAAATTGTATATATAATATATGTAGATGCATGTATTATGTTTATATATGTGGTATCTGTTATACAATGTCGCCACATTTGTCTCCATTTCAGTCCCCGTTCTGTCCCTGTCTACAATTTGCCACGGTGTGAATGCCGCTCACCTTCGCTCGTCGAATTGTATGTATTTCACATATCTATCAACTAAAAGAGCGCACTTTGCGAAACAAAAGAAGAAAGCAGCAGAAAGAATGAAGCGCACTGAAACCCTTCTTTTGCGAGTGCAGTCCTTTCTTTTCTTTTCTTACTTTGCTGGCTTTTTTCAGGGTTTCTCTTTTCTCTTTTGTTTCTACACGCTGTCACACACAATAAGACTACTGTTGTCTCCATTGCAGTCCCCGATATATCCCCTTTGCCACAATGCCGACGCCGCACACTGTGGCACACGGAATTATCTTAAGGGTATATATATATGTATATCGTCACAAGAATATCAGAGCGCAAAAGCGAAAAAAACAGAAAGAAAACAAGGGAAAAATGAATTCGTTTTTTTATCTTCTTCCTTACAACTCCCCCTGTTCAGAACCTCTTGCGTGCAAGGTCGCCCACGTGGATGTAGGTTGAGCGGCGGCTGCCCTCACCAACGTGTGTCATATCGACCCACTTGCACACAGCCAAAGGGCAAAGAGGCAAAGAAAAGAGGAAGGAAACAGCCGAACACAACAAAACAAGGGGAAACAAATACTAGATGACAAGTCCCACATGTAAGCAACGCCCCCACGTCACAGGCCAAACGATGGGACAAGACCAACCAGGATATCAAAATATGTCACAAAGTTATCAGAGCGCAAAAGAGAAAAAAAACAGAAAGAAACAAGAAAAAAATGAATTCGTTTTTTCTAATCTTCTTCCTTACAACTCCTCCTGTTCAGAAACTCTTGCGTACAAGGCCGCCCACGTGGATTTAGGTTGAGCCACGGCTGCCCGCACCCCCGTGTGTCATATGGACCCACTTGCACACAGCCAAAGGGCAAAGAGGCAAAGAAAAGAGGAAGGAAACAGCAGAACACAACAAAACAGGGGGAAACAAATCCTAGATGACAAGTCCCACATGCAAGCAATGCCCTCATGTCACAGACCAACCAGAATATCAAAACACTTTGCCTGCAAAAAAAAGAAATCAATCTATTGCGACTACCACCGCCTGTGCTAAAGGATGGCCAACAAAACATAAAAGACAATCCCAGATGACGATTCCCACATAAAAGCACCGCCCCCAAATTCACAGGCCGAACAACGGGAAACAACCAACCAGGATGGGAAAATAAAAAGTTGCCCGATAAACCCATAGGCAGAGAGGGAGAAGAGGACAACAAACGAGGGGCTGTGACAAACTCTTTCGTCGGAGTTTCACCGACGCATCAGGATAGTCAAACAGATATATGTATATATGTTATGGCATACGGGGATGGGGGCAGCTCGCGCTCAACTTCATCAACGTGGCGAGCCTTGTACGTTAGAGGCACAGTGGAGGAGGCGTTAAGAAGACTGAGAAACTGAATGATTTCAATGTGTCTTTGTTTTTGATCCTTTGATTCAGTGTAAATAATTTTTGTAAAAAACTGAAAGAAATAATAATACTGTGAAACAAAGTGTCATTCTGGTTTGTCTGTCTCTTTGCCTGTCTTTCCTTTCATTTTTCTTTTCTTTGCTCATCTTATTTCTTCTTCTACTTCACATGCTCATGCTCTTAGTCAATAGTTCTGTGACAATATATATACATTTATACATATATATATATTGTCACATTGTGACACCCAAGGAGAGCTACTTCAGCACAGCATTCGGCAGGATGGCTAGCATGGACCATACCATCAAAACAGTCCTGACAAAGGACATGCTGTCCACATGTCAAAAAAGCAGTAGGATGTTCATCACAGTGCGGCATCATGCAGCCCTGATAGCGTCCTTGAGCACAAAAGGGACAACGCATATCTGAGTGATAGGGATGTGTACAATGAGGAAATGTTGGACACCCTTCGGCACAGACGGTGGCGGCTGCAATAGATTGATAATGTTGATGGCATAGGTGATGAATTCCGCAGCCAAGATGCACTGCGTCCCTGTCCCAACAGGTGTCACACGAGAGAAGGTCAATAATTGAGAATAAAGTATGATTCGGCAATGCACACAGAAATTCATTTATGGTGAAAATAGCCTGGATCACCATCCCACAGTTCCCACTGGGCAGCTGCATGAATGAGTGCCATATAATGCCCGGGTCTGTGCAAAATACAGGCAGAAATATGAGAATGGTCATCAAGGTCATCGCCTGGCGTCACATGATGCATAAGAAGGTGGCGACCCTGGAATGCTAGCTGTAAGACATTTACAGTAAAGTGCAGTAACCCTGTTCAGAAGTAGCCTGGGGCTTAGAACTCAGCCCCAGGAAATGCAGACCTGAGTTGGTCTGCGCTGGGCTGTGTGACCAAGACACGCCCAGGCCTGAGTCTGTCGAGCGTGGCTGTGTGACCGAACGTTGCACACAGGAAATTCAAGAGTCAAAGTCAACTGTAGAGTCAAAGGTACCGCACCCAGGCCCTTGGTTGGATACACTCACTTGTTGTGCACAGGTACCCAGACAGCATCCAGGCCGGAGGGAATTCGGTTTCAAGCCAATCTGGGCCCTCATTCGCATTGAGATCTGGACGGCTGAGGGATACAGCATCCAGGGTCCAGACCCCGCGTCAACACTACATAAGAGCTGACTTCCTGGCTTTGACATTCATTCTGTCTTGTGTTGATGCTCACTTCACGCGTTGACTTCAACGCTGGCTCGACGCTGCGACGCTGGCATTGTGACTTGGCGAGGCGCTGCTAGTCCAGCATGGTGGCCGGCTTGCTCCTGTCTTCTTGGCATGCTGACGTGGCAGCTGCCATGCGCTGTCACTGACGTGGCTGCTGCCACGTGGTCTCTGGCTGGGACTACATAATTGGCATTGCTGTTCTGTTTCGTCGTCACTTCAAGAGGAGATCAGGACTGTCGAAAGTTCGAGGATACGTACCTGGTGGTCTTCATGTCGACATTGCTCCAGATGATGTGGGACTGATTAGAAGTGCCACGTGGCACATTGAGGATACTTTGGATACTCGTCCTGACTATTGATTATTGAGGTGGTAGTAGAGGAGGGAGCCCGAAGCAGGAGTGGGCATTGTACTTCCTCTCCTTTGTCTCTTCTCCCTCCTCTCTCTTCGTCTGTGTATGATTACCTCACCTCATTCTGTCTGGTTACGATTTTTGACTACTAGTAATCATCAGCCGATGGACATTTATCTGGGCTTGCATTGTTGACGATTGTCTTCACGATCTGGGTTCATTGCAATTTGTACATTGAGTACGCGCCAGGTGGCGCGTAGGTAAGTAAGGTTGAGTAGGTGATGACGTGGCAAGGGATACGCTGGAGGTGTTGACATGGCACATACCTCACTGGCGAGAAGACCTGACCGGAGCTGCTGACGAGGTACAGACTCTGCTAAAGACATCCCTACCAGGCTGCTGACGTGGCAGTAGGGACCGCGACCACGGATACCACATGCCAGCCAGGATCGCGATAGTGACGTGGCATCACGATCCCATGCTGATGTGGCACATATAGTGCTGCGGCTGAAGACCCTGTTCATTGCTGATGTGGCAGTTCTTGTGCTGCTGACATGCGACAGGGTCTACTGCAGATGCTGACGTGACTTTGGGGAACAAGACCGACTGCTGACGTGGCTGGGAAAAGTCATCACACCTGTCTTATGAGGTGGTGACTACCTGATGATGTGGCAACAGACCCTTTGGCTGACGTGGCATGATGTGACTGGCTGGACGGCGACGGCATCTCAACGTGACGCGCGGAAGTGGCACGTGGTGAGAATCAGACCACACATTTGCTGACGAGGCATCCAATTATTGATAGACTGGACACTGTGGTACAGAGTGCTGACGTGGCAACATTCGCTATGTTGGCACTCCAGGGATGACACGTAGCAGGCAGGATACTGCCAAGTAAAAGGTGCACTCTAAAGATGGCGACGGTACAACTGGCTGGACTAATTACACAGCTGTAGTGCCAGCTGTCAGAAAGAGTGCGTGATCGCATTGACATCAAGAAGACACAGCAGACTGACAAAGGTTGCTGACAAACTGTTTTGTGGTTGTTGTTGGCATACTTACCTGTTGTTGCTGTGTGTGGTGTTTGCGTACTTGTGTGTTGTGTCTGATCACACGGGCCTGTGGTACCTGTACGTTGCATAGGACGTCATCACACAGACAAGAAAAAGAACAGCAGTTAGAAATATTAGACATTTGTTTCCTTTTATTATTTCTTTTATTTTTCTGTTCCACCATTTCAAATATCTTCTCAAACTTGACTTCCAAAATGATTGGCATGTGGAAAATCCTCTTGCTTCTTTTTCCCATGACGTTCTTCTTGGGTGAGGGAACCTCCGAGCCAAAGACTAGGAGACGGGCGGAGGAAAAGAAGCAGGAACTACTAACATTGTGAAACCAACTCTTGAACGATCTGCGTCTGTCCGGACCCGACGCCGAACGGCACGTTTGTAATTTGTTTGATTTGGAGACGGTAGAAAACCGTCTGAAGCAAGCAATTACGGCTGTGGAAGTTGTAGCTGCCAGGACCGAAGTCTCAAAAATGATAGTCCAGTGCCGACAGGCATTGGACCAGTTCGCTATCAAGCAGTTGGAAGAAGTCATGGAGTCATCAAGGAAAGGAGAAGCTTGACCTGAAGTGACCGAGGCAACCATTGATGCTAACATTCAACAGTTAAGAGAGACGTTGGCTGCTGAAGAAAACAAGAAAGAAGAGCGAGCCCGGAAACGAGAACACGAATTAAGAAGGGAGCAAAAGTAAAAGAAATTAGATAGGTGATAGGAACATATGGAAAAGAAGAGACCGATATGACACAAACTTTATATCACATCATGACTTATCTCTCCTTCTTGGAAGAAAAGATTGACCGACAACAAGTCAGTTGGATGAGATTGCTGTTGGATTGAGAACCATCACAAATATTGTGAAAGGTAAGACTCAGGTAGAAGAAAAGGAGGAAGAAGATAAAGAAGAAAAGAAACCGGTAAAGAAATTGATGAGTGATGCTATTCAGTCTGCTGTCCCGAAAGAAACGAATGGGGAAGGGAAATCGTTTAACGTGGGGGGACCGAGTCCGCTGTCTTCTCCTCCTTCCTCTCCTCCTTCCTCTCCACCTCCAAAGTCTCCTTCTCCAAAGCCACAGGACAAAGTAACCACGAATCCGGAGAAACCAAAGAAGAAAGGAAAAGTGAAGATGAAAATGTCTTTTACGTTCTGCAACAAGAAAGATGAGAACTTGTTGCTTTGGATTGCCGAGATTCAGACCTATTGTAAAACGGCTCCAGTCGAACTTGATTCTCAGGTTGCTTTCTCTACTTCATGTCTTGGGGGGGAAGCAAAAGAATGGGTACGGGCCGAAGCTAATGCGGCGGGGTTCGAGGACATTGGCGAGGGGGCTGGCACAAAGAACCTGAAGCAGTTCCTTGGCAAGATCAAGGAACGCTTCTTAGACAAGATGACGACCGATAAGGCCTTTGACCAGCTCACCACCATTCGCCAAAGACATTGGACCTAAGTAGAACAACTGTTGCGGGAAGTGGATCGGTTGCTCCAGGTTCCTGGATTGAACCTTTAGGACAACCAAGTCCTTTATATTTATTCTCGCGCTCTGCCTGAGCCCATTCGTGGACAACTCGTGGCAGACTCGAAATCCGACAAATATAATTATAGGCAGTTTCGTGATCTGGCTCTCCAAAGAGCAAATGACTTCACGTGTGAAGAATTCTTATGCTTCTGTAGTAAAGTATGACGGTGGAGGAGGTGCAGGTGTAGGAAAGCGGATACTCTGTCAAAAGATTTGGACAAAGATGAAGGTAAGGTGCCGACGACCCCTTCCAACCCTTTGACTCACACGGTAGAGGATGGTTCTTCTTCGTCCCATCGTCCAGAACACCCTGAACCTGTCTGCATGTGATTGCATCGTGCCCACAGATTCGATACCCAAAAGCGAGCAGCCAGTAGGAGTAGCATCTACTCCTACTGAGTCAAAAGGTTTGGACAAAGATGAAGGTAAGGCGCCAATGACCCCTTCCAACCCTTTGACTCACACGGTAGAGGATGGTTCTTCTTCCGCCCATCGTCCAGAACACCCTAAACCTGTCTTATGCACTGTCTATCTGGACGACTCTCTTGACGAGCTTGGTAACGAGTTGCTGGCATTACGAAGCTCGTGGGCTAAGAAATCTAAGTCTAAGGGTGACCTACTACTCGCGGATGTAAAAATTGCACGTACACGCGTAGGTGCTCTGTGGGACTCAGAATCCACGCGATCCTACATATGCGAGAAAGCAATCCGCAAGTTGCATCTCGGAATGAAGGTGAAAAACTTGTCTAAACCTATCAAGTTTGTTTTGGCTGACAAAAGCACGATCACTGTCTCGCAGTATGTTGATCGTGTCAAGTGTTGGTTTCAAACAAGGGAAGGTAAGAAGATTTTGCATGAGGTATCCTTCCTGGTCGAAAAGAACCTACCGTTTGACTTGATTCTGGGAATGGATTGGCACGAGGAAGCCAACCCAGACATTAAGTTCAAAGAGAAGGTTGTGCAATTGCGAGAAGCACAATCTGAATTGAAGCCTATCAAATTGTTTTATAAGTCCGAGTCTGACTCTAGTCTCTTTTTTTGTTGTATGAGTTACCCAGCCTTTCGTTCAATGGTTTCAAAGAAAAAGTTGGAACAAGAAGTAATGATGGCTTTAGTAAAAAGAGCAGGAGAGTCTTCTACTTCCTATCTTTCTTCGCCTGGAAAACTTTTAAGCGAGTATGAAGACTTATTTACCGAACCAACAAGAATAACTGCGCGTGCTATAAAGCACACCATTGAAATTATTCCTGGCAGTAAGATTCCCAAGGGCCCTATATATTGAATGTCTGCTAGGGAACTTGAGGAACTGAGAAACAACTGCAAGACTTAACAGAAAAAAGATGGATTCGCTCTTTTCCTTATGGTGCCCCTGTCCTATTTGTGCCCAGAAAGGAAGGTGAGTTACGTCTCTGTATTGATTATAGAGGGTTGAATGTCATCAGTGTTAAGAATGCCGAACCTCTTCCACGAATTGACAACTTGACCAGTTACAGGGATGCAAGTAAGATCGATTTGAAATCTGGGTACCACCAGATCGAGGTGGAACCATCCGATCAGGATAAGACCGCTTTTCGGACCAGGTATGACCACTACGAGTTCGTGGTAATGCCCTTCGGATAAACGAATGCCCCTGCTACTTTTCAAAGGTCAATGAATGACTTGTTTTGTCAATGGTTGGATAAATTTGTTATTGTCTATCTCGATGATATTCTAGTGTATCGTAAAATACTAGAGGATCATGAAAAGCACCTTCGTCTGGTGCTAGGGAAGTTGCGTGAGGGCAACTTCAAGACCAATCCCAAGAAGTCTGAGTTTGCTAAGTCCAAAGTGTTATACTTAGGATACATAGTGAACGAAGAAGGTCTAAGGCCGAAAGAGAAAAGTATTTCAGCAATTAGAGATTGGCCACAACCTAAGTCTATAACTGACTTGCGATCTTTCCTTGGTTTAGCCAGTTACTACAGAAAGTTTGTTAGAAACTTCTCACTGATTGCTGCACCAATGCGAAGATTGTTAAAGAAAGAAACAATTTGGTTGTGGGATAAGGATTGTGAGTCTTCCTTTCGAAAATTAAAGTATGTCTTGACTCATTACCCCGTCCTTAAGATTGCTGACCCGTTTTTGCTTTTCATTGTCACTACTGATGCAAGTCAGTATGGGATTGACGCTGTTCTCCAACAAGATGACGGCAAGGTCTATAGGCCCATAGAGTTTATGTCTGGACGACTACCGTCGGAAAAGGTTGCCAACTCCATCTATGAAAGAGAGTTGTATGCCTTAGTCTATGCACTAAATACGTGGAAACACTACTTATTAGGGAGACACTTTACTGTGTACTCAGACCACTCTACTCTGTAGTGGATAAAGACACAACCTAGGCTCTCTGATAAGCTGGTACGATGGTCTGCGTTTATTGATACCTTTGATTTTGAATTGAAAACGATCAAAGGTAAGTCTAATGTGGTTTCAGATGCATTGTCCAGACGAAGTGATTTCTTTGGTGCAATTGTCTCTTACTTGGATGTTGGGAATGGTTTGAAAAAACAGATTCGCCAAGGATATGCTATTGATCCTATATGGAAACCAATCATGGATATCCTTGTACGAGATCCATCCCAACTACCCAACTATAGACTGACTGATGGATTGTTGTTCTTGATTGACCAAACCGAACAAAGGTTGTGTATTCCACATAAGGAAGAGATTAATAGTCTGTTGATTGGGGAATGTCACGATTCTGAGGGTCATTTTGGTTTCAAGAAAACATATGCTGAAGTCAGAGAACGTTTCGAATGGAAGGGACTTAAAAAAGATGTACTAACATATGTTCGTACTTGTTTAGTGTGTTAGAGAAACAAGCTGTGACATGAGAACCCCCTTGGACTTCTCAAACCATTACCTATACCAAGCGAACCAGATGAGTCTATTTCAATTGACTTCATGAGTCTTGTTAAAAGTCGCAAAAGTAATAGGCAAGTGATGGTAATTGTGGATCGTTTCTCTAAATATGCTATGTTTGTTCCCTTACCAGCAGAAGCGCATATTGAACTTGTCATTCAGAAATTTTAGATGCGATGGGTCACTAAGTATGGGTTCCCTAAAACCATTGTGTCTGATCGAGATGTCAGGTTCACCAGTCTGCCATGGCAAAAACTGATGGAAGCTTATGGCACACGGCTGACCATGTCGTAAGGGAGGCATCCCGAAACGAATGGCCAGACTGAACAGATGAACCGTCTGTGCCAACAACTTTTGCGTATATATATTAGACCCGATCAGATTGATTGGGAGGAGAACTTACCCAAAATTGCGAGTGCATATAACAATAGTGGTCGTACTTCCACCCCCGAATGCACTTCACAAAGGGTGGAAGCCTAAATGTCCCATTGATGTACTGAACCGTGACCAGTTTTTTAGGTTGCCCCAGGGACCCGAGAGTATACAATCTTGTTTCTGGAGGACATTCTGAAAGTTAAAGATAATTTAAGGAAAGCTCAACTACGGATGATTGAACAAGCCAACATGCACCGTCGACCGTCGACATTCAAAGAGGGTGATCTGGTTTGGATAAAATCTAAAGAGTTTTCATTAGAAGAAGATGTGTCCCAGAAATTGCTACCTGTCTATTTTGGACTCTGGGAAGTTCTCAAAGTAATTGGAGAAGCAGAGGGACCGTCTTATCGAGTTGATATTCCCCCTCATCTCAAAACATATCCTGTCTTTCATGCGTTCAAATTGTTGCCTTACGTAGAAGGAAATGAGTTTCCACACAGACCCTTTATGATTCCACCAGTCATGGATGGCGGATATGAGGTTGACAGGATCATAGAGCATGGTTTCTTTTCTACGGGAGGACGTGGATGGCCTCAGAAGCAGTTCAAGGTACGTTTCAAGTCTCAAGCACCATCTGAGGACAGATGGTTTAGTAAACGAGAACTACTTGAAACTGCTCCTGATATTGTTGCTGCTTATGAACGAGGGTTAAGGTCTTAAATATTTCTGCGGTGGAACTCGAAAATGGGCCGGCAGGAATGCAGTGAGCCTGTTCAAAAGTAGCCTGGGGCTCAAAACTCAGCCCCAGGAAACGCAGACCTGAGTTGGTCTGCGCTGGGCTGTGTGACCAAGATACGCCCAACCGTGAGTCTGTCGACCGTGGCTGTGTGACCGAACGTTGCACACAGGAAATTCAAGAGTCAAAGTCAACTGTAGAGTCACAGGTACCGCACCCAGACCCTTGGTTGGATACACTCACTTGTTGTGCGCAGGTACCCAGACAACATCCAGGCCGGAGGGAATTCGGTTTCAAGCCAATCTGGGCCCTCATTCGCATTGAGATCTGGACGACGGAGGGATACAGCATCCGGGGTCCAGACCCCATGTCAACACTATATAAGAGCCGACTTCCTGGCTTTGACATTCATTCCGTTTTGCGTTGATGCTGACTTCAAGCGTTTACTTCAACGCTGGCTCGACGCTGCGACGCTGACATTGTGACTTGGCGAGGCGCTGCTAGTTCGGCATGGTGGCCGGCTTGCTCCTGTCTTCTTGGCATGCTGACGTGGCAACTGCCATGCGCTGTCACTAATGTGGCTGCTGCCACGTGTACTATTAGTTGACGTGGCTGGTGCCACGTGCACCATTAGTTGACGTGGCTGCTGCCACGTGTACCATTAGTTGACGTGGCTGCTGCCAAGTGTTCTCTGGCTGGGACTACATAATTGACATTGCTGTTCTGTTTCGTCGTCACTTCAGGAGGATATCAGGACTGTGGAAATTTTGAGGATTTGTACTTGGTGGTCTTCATGTCGACATTGCTCCAGATGCTGATGTGGGACTGATTAGACATGCCACGTGACACATTGAGGATACTTCGGATACTCGTCCAGACTATTGAATATTGAGGTGGTAGTAGAGGAGGGAGCCCGAAGCAGGAGTGGGCATTGTACTTCCTCTCCTTTGTCTCGTCTCCCTCCTCTCTCTTCGTCTGTGTATGATTACCTCACCTCATTCTGTTTGGTTACGATTTTTGACTACTAGTAATCATCAGCCGATGGACATTTATCTGGGCTTGCATTGTTGACGACTGTCTTCACGATCTGGGTTCATTGCAAAAGCCTCCTGAGGTAGTATAATTACATCCGTCAGGAGGTTGACTATTATGGTCATACAACAACTGATTTTCGGCAGTGTCAAGCTGATAAGCAATTGTAACAAAATGAGAAGCAGTATAACATTGACACTGATAAGCCTATAGGCAGACATTTGTGGCTGTTAATCCACAAGCATTTGGTAGATCTGCCCGCAGATTCGATTCAGTCACCACTGGAAAGCAAGGTCTGATCTGGCGGGGTCGGCGCATGAATGACGAACGCCGTTGACGTGGCAGAACAGTCTGTCGGTAAGACAAAGAACCCCATAGATTAGCATCAACACGACTTCGAGAGGAAGGGGGATTGGGAGGAGGAGAGAATGAACGAACCTGCCGACGTCCCAATATACACAACGAAGACAAAGGAGGGGCCAATCTCAGCCGGTGTGGGGGGGCAAATAAAGAAGAAGAAGAAATGAAATGAAAGGTAGCGAGGCCAATCGCCACTCGTCCACGTACATTCAAACAGAGCTTTCACAACCACGCAGACATATCTGCTGCTCAAACGCGCACATTCCTCGATGCGTTTCGGCTGGTTGCGCCCCAATATTTATCAAGAGGCTTTCCTCACTCCCGCATCCACCCGTACTTTCCACCCTGAGCAAAGAGGACCGTTCTGGCCTTGCCCTCGACACATATACTGACACAGTACCCACGCACCCTGCTGCACTGGACATGCGACTGCAACCACCTCGCCGTCGTGCTAGGCTCTGCTTTAACATAACGAGTATGCCCAGATGCGAAAAACATACAACCCCCGACCATGCGTGCACCCACACGTGCTGAGTCTACCTTTTCTCACGTGCACTGGCCGCAGGGGGGTCGAAGTCCTTCAAGTGCGAAGTAGGCACAACTAGGGCGGTACTGCTAACAATCCACTCATTCTGTATTTTCGTTTTGTCACACACCCTACGCGCCACGTTTCCTATCCGGCCGGGACCGACCCTATGGGTCCCGACAACGCCTCCAGACCTGTAACCACCTGGGACTCAACCCGTTACGGACACAGTAGTATACAACCCGGTATCTCCAGATACTGGGACCATTTTCCTAGCCCTTCCTTCCCTTACTACTCCACCGGGAACCAGCCGCCCCCCATTAGATTGCATAGTCTCTACTATAATGCATACCCCACTTGATTATAAAGGTTTCATCTTCCCTAGTGTACAACCCAGTACTGCGCGGTACCAGGGTTCTCATCACTCCCTGGAACTATTTTCAGGTTTTATCCTTCTAATGTACAACCTAGTACTGCGCGGTACCGGGGTCTAACACTACCTAGAACTTATATACAGTTTGATCGCTTGCTCATACCCACTGTACCCTCTCTCTGCTAGCCTATCTACCCACACTCTGTTCCTAACACTCTTGCTCGCCCAGCCAGTTGCAGGTGCTGCTGTTTCCTCCGGGAAAATCCGACCAGCCCTTCGGTGAGCATCTGCCATGCTTCACCGAAAGGCCTGGTTACCCTGGCAAATCTCGTCAAGGTGTGGAAGAAGAAGAAGAAAAAGAAGAAGAAGAAGAAGAGGAAGAAGAAGACAAAAAAAA